GCTCTTGGAGGGGGTGTCTGAGATGATTTCTCTGTGTATCCCTGGTTGTTTTGGAACTCACAGAACTCCACCTGCCTCTGCCTCCTGAGTACTAGAATTGAAGGCGTGCTCCCGCTAGGGCTCACTGCACTCGCTAGGGCTTACTATACCTGCTAGGGTTCACTGCACCCGCTAGGGCTCACTTTGGCTTCCCAGTGCAGCTGGAATAGAGTAATTAGAGGTGAGGAAGCCTGGATACCTTTAGGTACAGTCTCTTGGCAAGTTACCAGCTTCAGATTTGAGTGGTGAATGTTTAGCAGGAGAGAGCCCGTGGAAGCCAAGCAGAGGGAGTGCGAACTTGGAATTAACTTCTTTTTTGCAGCACACATTATAACAGAAGTTACTTCACATTCATGGCTTTGTTAGGATGTCATACCATGTTGACGGAGAAGACCAAGGAGGTGTTAGTGTCACCTCAGAGGGGGCAGAGATGGAGGCTCAGACAGGGAAAGCCACCTCCTCCCGGCCACATGCTGTGGGTTTGGGTGATGTCTCTGTAATGAATTGAGAAGAACCCTGAAGCTCATGAGGCCCCATAGTGCTCTTGTTCTTGTGATGGCATGGGAGCAAGTCACACATAGGATCCTGAGCTGTCCAAGGTGTCTGAGCCTGGCAAAGGCATCCCTCAGCTTTGCATTTCGCCTGCAGCCCTCCTTCCTTTTCTCACCCATTAATTGACACACCTACTGACCCATCTTCTCATAGCCATCCTTCCTTCACATTTTCATTCCTTCTCCTCAGAGCACTTACTGCTTATCTGTTCACTTTGTCACCATTGGCCGAGGCTCCGTGCTGAGATGTACATTATAAACTTGACTTAAGAGCTGAGGATGAAGCTAGGTTGGGAGAACACTTGCCTAGTGTGCTGGATGACTCAGGTTCTATTCCCAGCACCATATAGAGCAAGACACAATGGCACTCACCTGCTATCCCAGCACTTGGGAGGGAGAGGCAGTAGGATCAGAAGTTCAAGGCTATCCTCTGCTGCATAGGGAGCTCCAGGCCAACCTGGGCTACATGAGACCCTGGCCCCAGAAGAAATAAAAGTACATACAGATGTGGCTTTTACCCAAGCACTATGTTATATCTTCATCTGGTCTGGGTGAACGAGATGAAAACAACGATGGGCTTTGCTAGTCATGTTCTGTAGACCAATCCGATGTGATGTAGTGACTCGCAGAAGCTTGGGATAGCCACTTTTCTCCAGCTGTCAATCAACTCATCCCTGTTCCGATCTCTAGTTCTTTCTATTGTGGTCCTCTTACAGAAGATGGTACTGTCTTCCCAGAGCAGCAGTTTGTGTGTGGTGTTTCCTTCCTTCCACCCATCCATCCTTCATCCCTGGTTTCTTTCTTCTCACGTTTTTAAAAAATAATTATTTTTTATTCTTAAAAATAATTGTGTGTGTGAGTGAAGTTGGAGGGATACATGCAAGTGCCAGTGCCACAGAGTCCAGAATAATGTGTCTGGTCTCCTGGAGCTAGTCTTCATGGTGGTTGTGAGTCACTCAACATTGGTGCTGGGACTCAAACTGGCTCTCCCTCATTTTAGAAACTACATTTATCTATTTACTTATTTACTGAAGGGGCCATGTAGAGGTCAGAGGACAGTTTACAGGAGTTCATTCTCTTGCCCCACCATGTAGGTCCTAGGGCTTGAACCCAGGCTGTTAGATGCTGCAGCAAGCATCTCTATCCTTTAAGCTACCCCTCACCTCTTCCTTCTCTCCCTCCTTTTCTCTCTTTTTTCTTCTTCCCTGTCTTCTTCTTTTCCTTCATCCCTTCTCCCAAGCCTTTCTCTCCTCCAAGACAGAATCTCACTTTGTAACCAAGATCCGTTTGCACTCAATCTGTAACTCAGGCTGGTCCTGTATCTGCATTAATCCTCCTGCTTCTGTCTCCCTAGTACTGAGATGACAGATGACCCACCTGCCCAGGCTGTGTTCTGTTTCTTGCTCTGTGTCCTGGCTACATTTGTGAAGACTCAGCAAGTGGCATCTAAAGGACATATGCCCAAAAGCGGGGACAGAAATGAGCACCTCTAATTCCAGGCCCTGGGAAGTTCGAGGCCAGCCTGGTCTACACAGTGAGACGCATGCCCTTATAAAAACTGATGTTATCATGCAACATGTAAGCAAACAGCACGGCACTGTAAAAAAAAAATTCTTTGTAATAACTGACCAATTCCATACTTAAGAGACTCCCTGCAAAGAACAGGTCTCACCACAGTGGACTGACTGTCAGATTTACCAGACACAATCATCACAGTTTTCTCGAAGTCCCTAGCAAATGAATTAGGGAAGCAGGAATTAAAATTCCTCCTCCTCCACATTCCTCTTTCTCTTCTTTCCCCTCCTTCCTACTTTCACCCCACTTCCTGTTTCTTCCCCGGCTTCCTCCCCATCCTCTTGGACATCACCCATTCTTATTTTCTCTTCCAATATTCATCCTCCTCAATTTCCTTTTTGTTCCTTTTCCTTCTTCTTTGTGGATTTTTGAAATAGGGTCTCATGTAGCTGCAGGTTGACCAGGCAGTGGTGACACAGGACTTTAATCCCAGCACTTGGGAAGCAGAGGCAGGTAGATCTCTGAATTTGAGGCCAGCCAGGTCTAGAGAGCAAGTTCCAGGACGGCCAGGGCTACACAGGGAAACCTTCTTTCAAAAAACAAATGAAAAGAGTAGTTGTAGGGGCAGTGGTGGCGCACGCCTTTAATCCCAGTACTTGGTAGGCAGATCTCAGTGAGTTTGAGGCCAGCCTGGCCTACAGTGCAAGTTCCAGGACAGCCAGGACTGTTTCACAGAAAAATCATGTCTCAATCAGTGAGCCGACTCTCCAGTCTCTAATAAATAATAATCTAAGAATAAATTATAATCTAACAATAATCGAAAAGAATAATATAAATAATAATCTAAATAGAAATAATCTAAAATAAATCCTAATAATAATGTTAAATAATCTAATAACAATAATCTAAAATAACAGTAGTAATCTAAAAATAAATTAATAAATAAAATAAAAATGAGGCTCCAAACAAGTTCCCGTGGGCAACATCTGAAGCAAGTTGAGTTAATCACTCCCTTAAGGAGGATGAAAATTTTAGATGGTTTCTGGGTCCCTGAGGTCTGAGGCCTTGGGGAAGGAAGCTGAGAGGGCAAGGTCCTTCATCTTCACACTGGCTCCAGCAATAATAGTGTCTCTGGAGATCAGAGCAGCTCCATGTCTCCCAAGGTCCTCAAAGTCTTTCTTTTGTCTCTCTTTTTGCCTTCCTGACCCCTTCCGTTCTCTGTGTCTCTGTCCTTATTTTTCTCTTCCTCTGTCTTCCTGTGTTCTGCGTCTTCCCTTTCCGTCTGGTTCTCTGGTCACTCCTGTGTGTTTTCCCCCAGCTGCCTCTCTTCCCCACCTCCATCTCTGTGGACCCCATCCCACCCCCTCCCTGCATTCTTGCCTTACAATAGTAGTGATTCTCAATCTTCCAGATGCCGTGACACAGTCATGTGGTTTCCCCAACCATAAAACTATTTTCGTTGCTACTTTGTAGCTGGATTTTGGGTACTATCAGGAATCCTATGTAAATACCTGAAAGTCAGGATATCTGATATTCGACCCCTGTGAAAGGGTCACTCAACCCTCGGAAGGGTCACTGCCCACAGGTTGAGAGCCACTGTCTCACAGGGTCTGGCTGTGTCTGTTTCTACTCCACTCTGAGTACTCCTCTCGTCATTTGGGCTGGTTTGACTAATGAACCTCCCCTGTCAGTCCTCTCCTGCCATGCACTTCTATGGGAACTCGAGAAATAGAACCTTGGCTCTTCATGATAAAGAGATCTGAAAGTTTCCAGGTATTTTGTTTGTTTGCTTGTTTTATAAATGTCATAGCAGAGTCTCTGGTGTGGCTCAGGCTAAGCCTCAAACTCATGACGTGCCTGCCTCAACCTCTCATGCACTGAAATTGCCCATATACATCCCCACACCCAACCCTCTCCTGGCTTGTGATCTCCGGTCCATCCATTTGCTCTGAAGGTGGGGGCTGCAGAAAAACTGGAAATCGTCACGGTTGTGAGAGTGTCAGTATGTGCAGGCTGCAAGGAAGCAAGGGACACAAAAATGTTGTGTGCACTTATCAAAAGTACATCCTACCATTCAAGCATACATAAGCAATATGACAGCTGCAGGAAATGAAACGAATGCTGTCTGTGACCTGGTCAGTGCCAAACTATATTAACTCAGTCCATATATAAGGAAGTCCCTGCAAAGAATAAGGTCTCCCCCAGATGGACCATCATATCCATCAAGCTGGATTGGCAGAGTTTTCACTCAGTACCTAACAAGCATCTTGTAAGAGTAGGAAGCAAAAATTACCTAATTAAAGTAATATTTTTGTGAAATTTATTTCTGAAGTGGAATCCAGGCTGCAGAGATGACTCAGCGGTTAAGACCACTGGCTGCTCTTCCAGAGGTCTTGAGTTCAATTCCCAGCAACCCCATGTAGGCTCAAAACTACCTAGAATGGAGTCTGATGCTATCTTCTGTCTGATGTCCTCTGTCGTACAGGCATATATACAAATAGAACACTCATATACTAAATAAATAAATAAATAAATAAATAAATAAATAAATCTTTTTTAAAGTGTTTTTTGAAATGGAATCTCATGTAGTCTTGGTTAGCCTGAAACTTCCCATTAACTGAGGCTGGTCTTGAACTCCTAATTTTGCTGCCTCAGCCTCGCAAGTGCTGGCATTAAAGGAGTGCATTACCAAGAGGTTCTGAACTCTTTTCCATTGTTGTGCGGTTGGACTCTGGGAATATCTCGCATTCATGCGGTGTTCATATGCTCACGATATTCCAAGCGCTGCTCTAAACTTCCTGCGTTTGATTCGCAGTACGCTTAGCTACAGACACTGACTGCTCCTGTAGTTCCGAGGTTCCTGACACCTACACAGGCTCCCCACAACGCTTGCAGATGGAGACCTCTGCGCCCGTCCCCGCGGTCAACCACACCTCAGTGCTGGAGTTCCTGCTTCTGGGGGTCACAGACAAGCGCGGGCTCCAACTCCTCCTCTTTGGGGTCCTCCTGGTCACCTACACGCTGACCTTGCTGGGCAATCTGCTCATAGTCGCCCTCACCTTGACGGACCGCCGCCTGCACACCCCTATGTACTTCTTCCTGCGCCACTTCTCGCTGCTGGAGGTGGGTTTCACATCCACTGTGTCCCCGCAGATGCTGGCACACCTAATGTCGGCACGCGGGGCCATCTCCCGCCACCGCTGCTTCGCACAGATGATTCTCTACTTCACCCTGGGAGCCGTGGAGACCCTGCTGCTGGCAGTGATGTCCACCGACCGCTTTCTGGCCATCTGCAGGCCCCTGCGCTACCCCGCGCTCATGACGCCCCGCGTCTGCTCTTCCCTGGTACTGGCCTGCTGGGCTGCCAGCCTCTTGGCCCTTCCTGGGCTGTTTGCCTGGATGTTGTCTCTCCCTTTTTGTGGGCCTCGAGTCCTCAATCACTTCTTCTGTGACAGCTCCCCTTTGCTGGAGCTGGTGTGTGCAGACACCAGGCTTCTGCAGCTAGTGGCCTTCCTGGTGGCTGTGTGCACCCTGCTCACTGCTACCTTGATCACAGCCTTGTCCTATGGCTTCATCATCAGCACCATCCTGCGCCTGCCAGCAGCTGGGGCTCGCAGCAAGGCCTTCTCCACCTGTTCTTCCCACATCCTCGTGGTGACGATGAGCTATGGGAGCTGCATCATCATGTACCTCAACCCCACACAGACAGGGAGGCTGGACCTCAACAAAGGGATAGCTTTCTTCAACACCACGGTGTCGCCCCTGCTGAATCCCTTCATCTATTGCCTCAGGAACCAACTGGTCCACAGCGTGTGCAGGGATTTGCTGCTCAGGGGAAGGGAGCTTTCCTCCAAGATATTCAGAGCATAAGACTGCAAAAGTTTGTCACTGGTTTATTTTGCTTGCTTTTGTTTTATTTTGTTGTTTTTTAATTTAAATTTATTTTTAAAAAATTATCTCTTCTTATATATGCCAAATCCGTTTCCCACACCCTTCCCTTCTCCTGCTCCTTCCACTCCCTCCCACCAACCCAATCCCATCCACTCCTCAGAGAGGGAGGGTAAGGCTTCCCATGGAAAGTTAACGAAGACTAACACATTGCTTTGAGGCAGGACCAAGGCCCTCCCCACTATATCTAAGCTGAATGGGTTTCAAAAAGCCGGAACAAACAGTAGGGATAAATCCTGGTCTCACTGCTAGTGGCCCTTCAGTCTGACCCAGCCATACAACTGTCACCCACATTCAGAGGGCCTAGTTTGGCCCTGTGCTGGTTCCCTTGCTGTCTGGCTGGAGTTGGAAGGCTTCCATTAGCGCAGGTAAGCTGTTTCAGTGGGTATCCCTGTCATGGTCTTCACCTCTTTGCTCCTATTCTCACTCCTCCCTCTCTTTGACTGGTCTGTGGCCTAGTGACTTGTTTGCAGTGCTAGGAACTGCACTTGGAGGCGCTCCTGGCCACTCCCACTCTTGTTTGTGAGAAGTCCTTTGTGTAAGCTAGGCTGGCTGAAAATCAGTAAGTAGTGGAGATTAACTTCAGTTTCCTTATCTTTCTGCTTCTCATTCCTGAGGGAATGCACCATGAAACCTGGAGGTGCTTTTTTATTTGTTTAATTAATTTATTTTTATTTTATGGCATTGGTGTTTTGCCTGCATGTATATCTGTATGAGGATGTCAGATCTTGGAGTTACAGACAGTTGTGAGCTGCCATGTGGGTGCTAGGGATTGAATCCAGGTTCTGTAGAAGAGCAGTCAGTGCTCTTAACCACCGAGCCTGTCTCTCCAGCACTCCGGATCCTGTTTTGTTTGTTTGTTTGTTTGTTTTGTTGTTTTTGAGATAAGGTGTCTCTGTGTGACATCCCTGGAACTAGTGTAGACCAGGCTGGCCTCGAACTCACAGAGATTTACTTACCTGTCTCTGCCTCCCTATTGCTGGAATTAAAGGTATGTGCCACCACTACTCAGCATCCTGGACCTGTTTTGTTTTTTTTTTTTTGTTTTGTTTTTCTTAATATTTTTTTATGGTTTATTTAACTTTATTTTTATGTGCATTGGTGTGAAGGTGTCAGATCCCCTGCAACTGGATCTTCAGACAGTTGTGAGCTGCCATGTGGGTGCTGGGAATTGAACCCAGGTCCTCTGGAAGAGCAGTCAGTGCTCTTAACCACTGAGCCATTTCTCCAGCCCCCTGGACCTGTTTTTAAATTAAATTTATTTATTTAGTTTATGTTTTGCTTGCCAAGACAGGGTCTCCTGTAATCAAGGCTACCCTCCAACTTGTTGTATAACCAAGGATGAGCTTGAGTTCTTTATCATTATCATCATTTTGATAATTTGTTTTTGAGACAGGATCTATGTAGCCCTAGCTGTCCTGATACTCACTATGTAGACCAGGTTGGCATGGAGATCTGCCTTTGGAGCACTAGGATTAAAGACATTTATCACCATGCCTGGCCCTGAACTCATTATTTTTAATTTTTTTTTTTAAATTGAGACTAGAGAGAGAGAGAGAGAGATGGCTCAGCCTTTAAGAATATTGTAGAGAGCCGGGCAGGGGTGGCGCATACCTTTAATCCCAACACTTGGGAGGCAGAGGCAGTCGGATCTCTGTGAAGTTGAGGCCAGCCTGGTCTACAAGAGCTAGTTCCAAGGCAGGCTCCAAAGCGACAGAGAAACCCTGTCTCAAAATACAAAACAAAACAAAAATTGTAGAGGACCTTCATTCGGTTTCCAGCACCCCCATGGAGACACACGTATCTTTAACTCTAGTTTCCGGGTCTCTGGAACCCTGTTTTGGCCACCTCGGGTGCTAGGCATGTATCCAGTGCCCATACATACATGCAGATAAAATACTCATACTCAAAAAATAAAAATAAATATTTTTTAAAATGAAGCTTCTGTGAATTCATGTGTGTGTGTTTGAGCTGCTGAGATCACCTGCGTGCAGGTGCACTCAAGGCCAGAAGAGAACATTAGATTCCCTTGAACTGGAATTATAGGCAGTTGTGAGCAGTCCGGTGCTGGGGTGCTGGGAAATGAATCCAAGTCCTCTGCAAGAGCAGTAAGTGCTCTTAACCACTGAGTCATTTCTCCAGGCAATGTAGGCATGTTTTGTTGAGTAGGGAAGGAAAACAAAGTAACAACCTAGACTCCTTTAAATGTTGGTGCTTTGTGGTGGAACAAGTCTGTAATCCTAGTCCTGGGAAAGACGATGATGGAGGATCAAAGGTTCGAGGTCGTCCTTGGCTACATATCAAATTTGATGCCAATCTGGGCTACATGAGTCACTGTCTCCAAATATAAAAATAAAAAAGGTAGGGTATTGTGTACTGTGATCTGTGATCTGAAGAACTCTTATGATCCAGGAGAGTCTTGAGGTTCACAATTTACAAGTGTCATGTAGGGTGCTCATGGAGATCTCCGAACAGGACTTCAGTAAACATTAAGGAAATTGGATCAAAATCCGCAGACCGTAGTGATTCTGCCCATTCTGTCCCTAATTGTATCAAACGTGCAAATGCTTTATGTCACATTGTCACAAGTTAGAATCACCTAAGTATCACGCCTCAGCGTGTCCTGATTGCCATAAATCATACGGGAAGACTTACTCTGACTGTGAGTGGCACTTTCTGGTGGCAATTCAGAGAAAACGGCGTAGCAGTTGTAAGATGACTCCCTTGGCCTTTCCCTGATGCTGCCGCCGCCAATTCTTTCCCTAATAGCACAGCCAGCATTGCCAGGCTTCCATTCCAGACCGAGGCCCAGAAACACTTCAGGAACCTTCTACGTCTTCCATGCCAGATTGGGACTGCAGAGGCACCCAGCCCCTTGGATTGAGCAATTCCTGGGCCAACAGCCTCCCCGGTGAGAAACAGCTACTATTTCCAACTGCTGAGGCATGCAGCCTCACCACATAAACTTTGCTTGGCATTACCTGCCCATGATCTCAGCACCCAGGAGGTAGAAGCAGGAGAGTCAGAAGGTCCCGGTCATCTTCAGATGTTAGATGCTAGCTGGCCATGATAAGTGAGGTGCTGTTTAAAAAACACACTGAGCTGGACAGTGATGGCACACACCTTTAATCCCAGCACTGAGGAGGCAGAGGCAGGCAAATCTTTGTGAGTTCAAGAATAGCCTGGTCTACAAGAGCTAGTTCCAGGACAGGCTCCAAAGCTACAGAGAAACCCTGTCTTGAAAAACCAAAAATAAATAAAAAAACAAACAAACAAAAAACAGCATCAGGACCAGGTAGTGGTGGCACATGCCTTTAATCCCAACACGTGGAAAGCAAAGGCAAGCGGATCTCTGTGAGTTCCAGGACAGCCTGGTCTACAGAGTGAGATCCAGGACAGCCAAGGCTACACAGAAAAAAGCCTGTCTAGAAAAACAAACAAACAAAAACCACCCAAAACCAAACAGAACCGGACTGTTGATGCTTCTTTCACCATTTCTTAGTCTGTAGTTCACTGGTAGGTGCCTCTCCTTCCTCAAGTAAAGCAGTCTGTCAAATCCAAGGCCCTGAATCTGTTCACGTTTTAGAAACACACCATTACAACCCATCCCACGAAATTTCTCTCATTGCAGATGAGAACTGCTTTAACTGCCAATTCAACTCCAATTCTAAAAATACCCATCCAGATTCCACAGCAGGGGCACCAGGGATTTCAAACAGCACACTGGTGCCCATCTTGCAATATTTTCCACATTCTTCTTTGGTTTTGAGTCAAAACCTGTGGGGGAACGTGAAGAGGACCAAAGCCTGACCATAGAGTCTGACTGAAGCCTCTGGCCAGTAGAGAATCGAAAGTTCCAGCACAACGAACATTTGCTGCGCAGGTTGCCAAACCCAGAAACAAACTTCCTTTTATAAAGGAATATGTTCAGGGCTGGCCAGACGGCTAGTGAGTAAAGGAGCCTGCTGAATAAGCCTGCTGATCTGAGTTCCATCCCCAGAATCCACCCGAGAACACTGACTCCCAACAGTGATCCTTTTCCCTCCACATGCCAGCTAGAGTGTTCACAAAGTGCATGCCAGGTAGGGTGTCACACCCCTTTAACCTCAGCCGTCCAGGAACACTGTGAGTTCAAGGCCCATCAGCTCTAATAGCAAGTTGTAGGCAGCTAGGGCTATGTAGTTAAACCCTGTCTCTAGAGGGGGAAAAAGACTACTAGTGCTCTTTAAGAACTGAAAGTGTAGCTTAGCTGGTAGAGCACTTGTCTGTTGTGTGACGTTATCACATTCTGACAATAAAGTTCGCTTTGAATCAGAGGGCAAAGTTAGCTATAATCATAGAGGTTCTGGAGGATTGCAGAGAGATAGAAAGACAGGAAGTAGGAGGGTGTGCCTTAGAGATGGTTTAGGTCCTTATAGATGGAGGAACTACAGAAATAGGAGGTCGCTGGTTGTTTCTCCTTCACTTCTCTGACGATTCAAGTTCTTTTTTTTTTGCCATAAACATTTATTAAAGGAGAGAGGGAGGGAGGGACAGAGAGAGAGAGAGAGAGAGAGAGAGAGACAGAGAGAGAGAGACAGAGAGAGAGAGACGCATGTGCCCACCAGAAAGAACAGGAAGAGGTTTTATTTGTTCTTTTGGTTTTTCGAGACAGGGTTTCTCTGTGGCTTTGGAGCCTGTCCTGGAACTAGCTCTTGTAGACCAAGGCTGGCCTCGAACTCACAGAGATCTGCCTGTCTCTGCCTCCCGAGTGCTGGGATTAAAGGCGTGTGTGATTCAAGTTCTTACCCCAATATCTGACTCCTGAATTTTTGTTTATTTGTTTGTTTGTTTTTCGAGAGCGGGTTTCTCTGTAGCTTTGGAGTCTGTCTTGGAACTAGCTCTTGTATACCAGGCTGGTATACTCACAGAGATCTGCCTGC